TTTATGGATTTAATGAACAGAATTTTCCAACCGTATTTAGATCAGTTTGTTGTGGTGTTTATTGATGATATTTTAATATATTCAAAGTCAGAAGAAGAGCATAGTTCACACTTACAGATTATTTTACAGATTTTACGAGACAAGAAGCTTTATGCTAAATTTTCTAAATGTGAATTCTGGTTGAATGAAGTGGCATTCCTTGGACATGTAATTTCTAAAGAAGGAGTTCGAGTGGATCCCCAAAAGATTAAAGCTATTCTGGAGTGGGAAGTTCCAAAGAATATATCGGAAGTTAGAAGTTTTCTAGGGTTAGCTGGTTATTATCGAAGGTTTGTTAAAAACTTTTCTATTATAGCATTACCCCTGACTAAACTGTTGAAAAAGGAAGTAAAATTTGTTTGGACTCAAGAATATCAAGAGAGTTTTGAAAAGTTAAAGAAGATTCTTACAGAAGCTCCAGTGTTAGTTCAACCCGAGTCTGGAAAGAACTTTATAGTGTATAGTGATGCGTGTCATAGTGGTTTGGGATGCGTATTAATGCAAGAAGGCAAAGTGGTAGCCTATGCTTCGAGACAACTAAAACCGTACGAGAAAAATTATCCAACACACGACCTAGAGATGGCGGCAGTAGTGTTTGCTTTAAAGATCTGGCGTCACTACTTGTATGGTGAAAAGTGCTACTTGTATACGGATCATAAGAGCTTAAAATACTTGATGACTCAGAAAGAGTTAAATTTAAGTCAAAGAAAATTGGTGGAATTTCTCAAGGATTATGATGTGGTGATTGATTTCCATCCTGGAAAAGCAAATGTGGTAGCTGATGCCTTGAGTCGAAAGACGTTTGCAGCTTTGCGAACTCTTGATGCTAGATTATCATTAATAGAAAATGGTGCAATTTTTACAGAACTGATGGTCAAGCCCGTATGGCTAAATCGAATTAAAGAATTGCAAGTTAAAGATGAAAAGTGTTTAAAGAGGATACAACAGATAAAGAATGGAGAGGGTACGGATTATGAGATTAAGTCTGATGAGAACTTGTATTATCAAGAAAGATTAGTAATTCCAGATGATGATGAATTAAAGAATGATTTGTTAACGGAAGCTCATTGTAGTCCATTGACAATGCATCCGGGAGGGAACAAAATGTATATGGATCTCAAGAGTCGATATTTGTGGCCGAGAATGAAGAAATACATTACGGAATTTATATCAAAGTGTTTGACTTGTCAACAAGTCAAAGCTGAACATCAAGTTCCGTCAGGATTGTTACAACCGATTTCAATTCCTCAATGGAAATGGGAAAACATAATGATGGATTTTGTGACGGGTTTGCCTTTAACTCCGAACAAAAAGGATTTAATCTGGGTAATCGTGGATAGATTGACTAAGTCAGCCCATTTTATTCCAGTACAAACTGATTTCTCCATGATAGGTATGCTGAGTTATATATTAGAGAGATTATACGGTAGCATGGTGTACCTATTTCCATAGTTTTTGATCGGGATCCTAGATTCACATCACGGTTTTGGAAGTCATTACATAGAGCATTGGGAACTCGGTTTAACTTCAGTACAGTGTTTCATCCTCAAACCGATGGTCAATCCGAGCGAACTATTCAAATTCTGGAGGATATGCTAAGAGCTTGTGTTATTAAATTCAAAGGATCGTGGGAAAGGTATTTACCACTTGGTGAATTTGTATACAACAATAGTTATCAGTCAAGCATCAAAATGGCTCCCTATGAAGCTCTATACGGAAGAAGATGTCGTACGCCCTTGAACTGGTATGAACTTAAGGATCGAGAAGTTATTGGTCCTGAGTTGATTCAGAATACGGAAGAGAAAATTCAAGTAATTCAGAATAATCTGAAAGCTGCAGCTGATAGACAGAAATCGTATACTGATTTAAAAAGGAAAGAAATTGAATTTCAAGTCGGAGATAAAGTGTTCTTGAAAGTGTCACCGTGGAAGAAAGTATTGAGGTTTAGACGTAAAGGAAAGTTGAGTCCTTGGTTCATTGGACCTTATGAGATTACTAAGAGGGTAGGATCAGTAGCATATCAGTTAGTTTTTCCACCTGAAATGGAAAAAAATACACAATGTTTTTCATGTCTCAATGCTTAGGAAATATAGATCTGATCCATCTCACATTGTGACTCCTGAAGAAATTGAAGTCCGATCAGATTTAACTTATAAGGAAGAACCTGTTCAAATATTAGCTCACGAAGTCAAACAACTAAGGAACAAGACTATTCCATTGGTTAAGGTCTTGTGGAGGAATCACAAAGTAGAGGAAACAACATGGGAACGTGAAGAGGACATGAGGATTAAGTACCCCTACCTCTTTGCATAATGAAAATTCGAGGACGAATTTTCTTAAGGGGGGAGAGTTGTAACATCCTCAATACCGGGTTAGTGACTAAATTGGAAAGTTTCAGATTTTGGTGATTAAAATAGAATGAATGAATAGTATAAAGATTTATATGTAAATGATTGTGTAGAATTTAATTGAAAAGAAGAAGGAATGGAAGGGCCAAAGAGTCATTTGCAAGGAAAATTAATTAAAGAAGGGATAAGGATATATATGAGTACAAGTGGGTTGAAAATGAGAGAACAGCAAAGGCTTCCAGAGTTCTCTTCTTCTTCTTCTTTCTTCCTTGTGCGTGTGAACCAAAGCAAAGGTAAGATTTCTGATTATTGAGTTTCTTGTTAAATTTAATATTGGGTTTTGATTATTAGATGATAACTAAGCTTAAGGAAAGCTTAAGTTATCTTAACATCAAAGGATGATTGAGTTAGGAGAGATTTAAGATTTGAAGTTCTTAAATGAAATCTTGGAATAGAGTTCATAACTAGAATTGAAAGTTATATTTGACTTGTCATCAATCTAGTTAAGATATACGAAGTGTTAAAAGCGGAATTCAAACATGTTGATTTATTAATGTAATTCTTGAATTACATATGAAGGATAGGATTTGAAGGTTTAAGGTGAAATAAATTAGTATAAATTGGTTTAAGGATGTGTACTAGAGTTAAGAATGAAAAAGATGATTAAACATGAAGGATTTAATCTAAAATGAATGAATTTTCGGGTTCAAAAAGAGGATTGTGGGCAGAGTGCGTCGATGCACATTCATAGTGCATCGATGCATCAAGGTTAAAACCCATAAATTATTTGAAGGTGTATCGATGCATTGGTAGTGCATCGATGCACTCTTTTAAAATAAAAATATCGAATGCAATTCATGCATCGATGCATAAGTAGTGCATCGATGCATCCCATTAATAATGAAACATCGAATGCAATTGGTACATCGATGCATAAGGAGTGCATCGATGCATCCCATCAATAATAATACATCGAATACCTTTTATGCACCGATGCATCAGTAGTGCATCGATGCATACCTTCATTAAAAGATGAAATTGACTTTTCTCTTAGTCTAAAGAGTGAACCATTAGAGTATATTAGTTATAATACTGATATAAATCCATGTGTGATTATGTAGATACTAAAAGTAAGCTTATTCCGGAACGATCAAAGGATTATAATCGAATCAAAGCAAAGCTAAGGTGAGTGCATACTATATGTATATTATAATGGAATAAGACTTGTGATAAGTCTAATCCCTAAGTTGATTTTTTATAATATAGTAGTGGTGAACATGCATACATGATAATTATTGTGATACATGCATAAGACATATAAATGTTCATGTTATATGATAAGTGATATGACATTTGATATGAGAACATAATATGAAGTGATATGAGATATATGATCACAAGAGAAATGATATGAGTACATGAACATATGAAATATAACAATAATGCCCATAGTATACGATATGAGAACTATAGGTGTAATTGGCATGCCAAGAGTCGAGGGTATAATAGTCCTTCGGGATGTAGTCCTTCGGGATGTAGGGGTCCTACGGGACATAGATAATAGTCCTACGGGACGAATACTGAACTAAGGTTCGGTGCCCCATAAGGGAATTGATACGAGCTGTGGTGACAGCATTAGTGCACAACCTCAATGTACTCACATACCTCTATTCTCAATAATATACATGGGCTATGCAATTGAAATACAGATTTACAGTGAAAGTGATACAAGAAGGTAAGTTTCGTATGTGCATTATATGTTATCGTGCGATAGATACATGCATATTGAAATGTCATGCTCCAATGGTAAGTATGAACATTCATAAGTTTATTATTGCATATTCATTTATTGCCTCACTAAGTCTATGACTTAGCGTGTAAGTGATTTACACGTAGGTACCAAGAATCAGGAAAAGTGGAAATAGAAGTAGCACGGACTGCAATACTACTAAGAGATCATATCAGAAGTAATTGACAAAGTATGTACTTGGTTATGTATAGAATGTTGGCATGTAATAAGTGTTAATTACGAATACTCTGATCGATTTTGTATTTTATGGTCTTATGTAAATTAATGTATTTCGTTTTAATGAAATTTTTAAAATTTCCCGGGATTTTCTATAAGAGTCAAAGTTTGAAAAGTCAATGTGACACCTCAGACTCAGACTTGTATTCGGGTTGGATATGAGTTAATGGTATTACATATTCACACAGCAGAGCGCGCTCTTTTATTCAAGTCACCACACAATTTATTCTTAATTATGGCTCATCATTTAACATTATGCATAAGGACATATTAGTCATATTAAATCAGTAAATATTGATGAAAGGGTGATATTTTGATAAATAATAATTTTTTGAGCCATTTTTGGATAAAGTCGTCCATTACTTTTATACAAATATTTCTAATATATTATATAATTCAACCTAAATTAAATAATTCTGATTTGGATTACCAAAATTACAAAAGTCTTTGGCCAATCACCGAACTATATACACCTTGAACAAGTCTAACAGCAAGTTATCAATATAACGGAGACATATGTTCACAAGCTATTCTAGTTCGAGTTCGAATTCAAAACTTTATATTTAGCTCGGTCAGTGTCAAGCTGAAGTTAAGTTCAACAGCTTAAACTATCAAATATCGTTTCCAGGAAGACGACAGATAAAAAAATAGACTGTTAAAAACTTCTCTTCGATTTCATAGATTTAAATGGTGCCGTTGTTAATGTCACTACCTCCCCAGAACGACAATCGTTGGATCTGCGAACGGACAGAGTCCACGATGCCCGGAGGAGCAGCTTTTCTGTTTGTAACACCATTGTTTGCATCCGCCTCCATATCAATATCCCTCCAGAACTTTATGATATGTAAACTCTCTTCCTCCGTTGATCGTTGGACAAAAATTCTCGAAGCATAACCCTTCTTCATCATCTGTCGGCATATCTGCGACGGGTTATTTGTTGTAAGAGTAACCATGTACAACCAACCCCGTTCCGACAAAAGTTTGTCCGCAACAGGCAAAATCTTATCAATCACACTTCGACCATTCTCTCCTCCTGCCCAAGCTGAGGTAATCCCTTCACGACCCACTTCATCTTCAGGCGTTGGCACATAAGGTGGATTAACAACAAGAAGATCGATTGAGCCAGCCAAACGACTCTCTAACCCTGACGCAATGTCGGTATTTATCAAATCCGCATGAACTCCATGCGCTTCCATTGTTTCCCGAGTTACTGTGATAGCATGAGGATTGATATCAGTGGCAATAAACTGAGCCCCGTTAGCTTCATCCCCAAGCATAAGCATCAAAGAAGTAATAACATAACCACTTCCACAACCCATTTCCATGCACAATACCGGTTTATGTTCCATCAAGTGCTTTCGATCCGACAAAAGTGCATCGACTAATGCGAATGAATCATCGCAGGGTTCATAAACCTCAGGATGTGAACTCAGAAGAAGAATCTGGGCAATTTTATAAGACATCTCCAAGGTGTTTCCTGGCATAACAATAAGCAGCAACAGTATAGTCAAATCATCAAAACAACCAATATGAAACTTTTGATCTTCGAAAACTCAAAAACAAATCAACACAGACAATCAAGGGAGGCTTAACGGAACAAATTGCAGTGGCTATCAGACTGAAAATGAATGAGAAAAAACACAAAGAAAAAGAGAGATCGACTGATGTACTACATGGTTGCAAAATTCACATCAAATCTCCAATAAAAATTTTGATGTTCAACGAGCAAAACCATCAGGCATACTGACCCGGAGGTGTTAGAACAGTGATTAACAGTTGCTCTTCTTAATCTTATTATGTGAAACAGAAATCTAAGGAGAAATGAGGGATAGCATAGACTATTATTCTCTCCTGAAAAATTTTCTCACTTGTTCAACCATTTTCCCCCCAATTAAACTGGGAAACAAAAGCTATTGCAATATTTCCCTTACTTTTCCCTCAATTAGATTTCTCATCAAACTATTTTCCTTTCAACCAAACATAAAAGAGAATACATTCCATGAAATTCATTTACTTTTCCCTTTAAACTTTCATGACCAAAACATACCCTAAAAAATATCGTCTTTGTTTGATTATTGGAATTTCCCTAACATTCCAATTGAATTGAATGAAACAATTACAACATGACATGCAAAACAAGTAACCCAATTCAAGAAAGGAACAAACTTGATAAGGAAAAAAAAAGTTCTGATCCAACAAATAAGTCTTAACTAAATAAACTAAAGAAGTGTTTTACAGAATTGTAAGAAGCGAGAGTGGAGGGAAGAAATCAAACCTGGGATTCACTTTCCCAATCCGACGAGATCAAATCAGGAAAATAAAGAAACAACTGAAGAAGAGAATTAATGAGAGTTAGAGACAGAGGATAGATAGTGGGACAATGGTCGGCCAAATCACGATTGAAGAAACCCAGCATTTAAAGATTTGAAATTATAATTCCCCTATATTACAAAGTAATCTTTAAAGTTTAAAATAGTCTAATTGAATCATAGAAGTATCAATTTTAAATCAATTATACTATTTAGTTAATTTAGATATTAAATACCTGTTAGAATATAACAAGGGTCATATTAAAAAAAAGTGTATACCTATTACATGGATAAATTAGATTTAACTCCTTATAAAATAATGTTCATAAAAGTTAAGAAAAACTATTTTTAAAATATGAATTGGCATCCAATATTCAAACAAACAGTTTGATAAGTGAAAAGATTTAATTCATGCAATATAAATATTTTGAGGATTCAATTAGAATATTTTAAAATTTGTTAGTAGTTTAAATTTTAAATCTTTATCTGAGGATGCATTTTGAAATTAAACCCAATTTTAACTGAGAACATTTTAAGAAAAAAGGATTAAGGGTGAAAAAGTTTGAGAACAGTTTTTTTTAAAAATAATTATATAATTAAATTTATTTTGCTTTTAACTCAATTTAGATAATGCGAATAGTCGGGAATCATTTTATAACTTTTAATAGTCGATGACTCAACAAAATAATGTCTTATAGTCAATAGATCATTTCGTAACTTTTAATAATCGGTGACTCAACAAAGCAAAATCTTATAGTCGGAGAACATTTATATATTTTACTCCTATGATGATGATTATTATTATTTGATAAATTTTAAATATAATCTTAATTTTACCTAGAAATGAAGAAGATGTACAGAACCTATGGTCTAATAGAATATGAGGATCATTTGTGTACTTCACCCTTATTATTATTATTATTATTATTAGAGGTTTAAAAGAATTATTTTATTTATTTATTTATTTATTTATTTGAGAAAAGGTTTAAAAGAATATAAATCTTAAATGAAGAGACGAAAAAGTAAAGGCACAACGTTTGCATGTGTTGAAAGCATCAATCTTCATAAATTGTCGGTCATTAAAAGTGAAAACCCAGCTTCAAAGATCTTTAATTTGCCCGCTCAAACACTCCACAATTCCCCAAATTCAAAGTTCAGTTCAGTTCATCAAAATCCATTTCTTGTTTTCATTATCATCCTTCTGTTTTCTTCCAATTTCCAGATCTACTTGAAAAAACCAAGTTGAAATACCTTTTCTCTCGAGCTTGACAGCCTAAGAGGAAAACAAGAGAAACCCAAAGTTTTAAATCGAATCAATTAAAGCAACACCCTCTGTTTCTGATTGATACGAATGGCATCCTCTGATTCTACTCCTCTTCCTGTCATCTCTGCTTCCTTAGCTCCAGTAGGTTCAAAAATTGCGGTCAGTTTTGGATTTTTTTCGTCTTTAATTTATTATACACTTCATTTTCTTTGGGGTAAAGAAACTTACTTGATCTGATTCATTTCTAATTTTTTATTTTTATTTGGGGGTTTAGGAATTGAATGAATCAAGGACTGAGCTGCTCAATAGAATTCAAGGATTGAAACAGGTAATTCTGGAAAATATAACTTCTTTTTTTCTTTTACAATTTTATTTGGGTAATATATACTTCAATTTTGAGTTTAATGTTTTCTCCCATTAGGATCTGAAAAATTGGAGGTCAAAGCTTGACACCCAAGTTAAAATTTATCGAGATGTAAGTTCATTATTTTTGCTTTTTTTTCCTCAGAAAATTTCTTGAATTATTTTCTTTCTTCTTTGTTTGTTCATGCGGAGATTGTCTGAAATCTGTGGGAAATATTCGTTCCATGTCAAACTAGTTAAGTATTTAACAATTGAAGTTGCTGAATCTTTTACTATGAAATGAAAGTTCATGATAAGAAAATCAATATGCGGGTGTTTCCTGAGAAAAATCTGGTTTCAAACACCCAAGCACCCTGGTTTAAAACTTTCTTCCTTTGTATATTATTGTACGAAACTGCAATTGAATTAACAAATGCCTTCGAGTTTACTTGTATTATGTTTGTCTTTTGCTGCTCCTTGAAGTCTTGGATAGTGGCCAACATGTTAGCAATGAGCTTACTTCAGAGAAATATAGGCCATTTGGGATATAATAACAATATATAAATGTGGATTTCTTGATAAATCTTTCTGGTTTGATGTTTTCCCTCTTGCTACTGAATGATTAAGACCTATGTTGGTTGAATTCTGCAAATTCTTCATTGCATTGATTGAAGTGCATCTCGACACATATTCAGATATAAATTTGGAATTACAAATGTATGATCCTCGAATTATATGATTTTTTTTTAAAGAATGAGCACACCTATTTTGGTCTCGTATCCGGTGCCCGGCTCTTATTCTCGTCTCAGTTGCATCGGTTGAGACCAAGGATCTAAAGATTTGTGCAATTGTTTGAAAAAAATTATGGAAGGACTGATTCTTGACTAAGAATACCTATAATCAAGCAATAAATTGTCATATTGCAGTTTTAGTTAGGTATCTCAATTAATAATACCTTTTAATGGCTTCATTTCTTAGGCTAATTTGCATGTATTCTTGCAGGAGCTCAGTGAACTGAAGAAAACACTTAACGTTGAAGTGGAGCAACTCCGTACGGTAAGTTCTTCCCTTAAAAAAAAGTAGATTTTTCATTCTGAAATGAGGGGACTTTTAATTTATCTTAAATGTTTCATTCATGAAATAAGGAATTTCAAGAACTGAGGGACACTCTACATCAGCAACATGAAGATGTTACAGCTAGCTTAAGAAATTTAGGGGTAAGCTAAATTTCGAACCTTTGTTTACATTCCTTACACCTATGTTAGCTTCAGACTGTTCATTTTCCTTGAAGTAGTCAAATCTGACACTCGTGTTCAGCACATATTCTGACATGTGGTATAACGATATGACCCTCCAAAAATACATAGAGGAAGTTGAACGTGTACTTGTATCCAGCAAACTCGAGTCCGAGTAACATAGGCTTATGCTACTTGTGTTTTCACCATTGTCTATGCTTTTAGAAACTGGAATATGCTCCTAGGTTGAACCGTTTGGAACTGTTGCAGCTGCAGGATGTGTCAGAGAGTGCAAAAGAGGCTGACGATCCTAAGGTTGAAGGAAAGGATGAGGAAATGCATACTTCATCCGTAAAGGAAAATGGCAAGGAAGAGAACAAATAGATGGGTTTTATCATGGAGTATGCGTTATTGTACTTATATATACTTTTCATTGTGTTGTGAACTTTTATCATGTTTCTTAGGTTATAATTCCAAGTCTATCTTTTTTTCTAGCTGAAGAACTGCTTTCATATGAATCCATTGTTATGGTAATGGCATTTACCTTGGCCATAATGAAACCAAAACAATCTCAACCTTTTGTCTTCCAGTTTCAGCTTGGGTGTTGGTAAGGATGAGCATTCAATTAAGTTGAATCGGGTCAAAACATTTTGAGTTAGTCAAGTTAACTAAATTTATTTTATAACTCAAACTTTATTTTTACATTTTATTGCTCATAGAGATCAAAGTGCCATTCAAAGAATCTTGTAATTATTGAGTTGTTCAGTTAGAGAAGATGATGGACGCATGAACAAACAACTTGCAAAAGAACGGATTCAATTTTGTTAACAAATCTTCTAATTATTCATAAACAAGTACTTGAAGAGGATAATAATTTGTGGTGAAATGTTAAATGAAAATTTACATCAAAGACTAATGCATGATTTAAAACAATACAAAATTTTATCTGCAACAAATCAGGATAAAATCTTTCTGAATTTAAGCTATATACAATTGAAAAAAGTGCAGATCTGCAGAGCTTTGACATAAAATTCACACACGTCGATGCCTTAGAAGTGCGATGATTCGTCCCTAGAATGATCACAATCACGGTAATATCATCATGGTATTTCCTCCTCCTACCAGCTGGAACGTTCATCAGTTCTTCCTTACTGAAACCTGTGATTGTAAAATTCATGTCTTAGAGATTCCGGTCTAATAATAAACGAATATAACGCTAAAGTTACGAAACTTGCATTTCGGTTTTGTTGTAAGTTCTCTTATACGAAACCGAGTGTGTTGACAATCATAAAAACAGGTGGCCAAAGAAAATTTAGTTCCTGGTTCAATGAAATTAGGAGAAAAGCTTAAATTGGTTGTGGGAAACGGATATTTACCTGCAGATTGAGCTGCTTTTATTAGAAGCTGTTCCACAAGAAATTTGGCAGGATCGCCATAAGGGTTGCTCGAGATGTAAGAATGGACAAGCTTTACTGCCTCTTCATTGCTGAAGAAGTCGAATAAACCGTCGCTACGAACTATAACAAAGTGATCAGATCTTGATACTTTGTGCACATTCAGTGATGGCTCGGTGGAGATATATGGGGGACTAATGAGGTTACGAACTCGAAGAATTCCCATCAGTGCATCATTCAGTTTTTTCTACAAGGATTAACAACAATGATATGCCAATTGAAGAAATACTAGCAACGACGATGTAAATGAATATCATTTTCTGTGCTTGGATGAAGTAAAGGAATACCAAGTTCTCATGTTCGGGTCAAAACAATACTACCTGACTATTATGCAGCGAGCCTTCTTGAGAGGGCAAATTTAAATAACAAAAGTACAAGGAAATTGTAGCGAGAAATACGAGTGCCTACCTTTTTCAAGTAACCTACTCCGAATGCGCGAGTGACATTCAGTTTTCCTTTCACTTTTCCGGCTACTACAAGCATAGAGTCATCAGGATGCTCCTGCAAGAGTCTATTTCTTTCAACTTTGTTATCAACAGTGTGACTATCAGTCAGCTGGATAGCTTTCAACCTTTCACTCTGATCCATGCGATTGACGTCGTCATATGATGCCAATACAGCTCGACTGTCACCTAAATTGAGTGTATATAAATCGTCTCCATGAAGAAAAATAACCAGAACACAAGATCCTATTGAAACTAAATCGGGACGGTCCTCCATTTCCTGCTCTATCATGTACAAGAAATCACTCTCGGCTTGACCTAGAGCACGTTGGAGGCTATCAAGCACCCCGTGCCTATATGAATCAGACGATACTTCCATTTTACAGTCTGAGGTCTTCTTCATCAAGCTTTCAGCACTCATATACTTCATGCTGTCAGTCCTAGAAGGGGTTTTTGCCTTATTACCAACCATAATTTCATTATGAAAATATTCAAAAATTCCATTTGCAGTCGGACCATCGGGTGCTCTGAGGACATCCTGCTTTGATTCCTGGTCTTGTAAACTTAAGTAAAATATTATAGTTTCGTATAATGTCCCAGCTAGAAAATCAGCTGCATCTCTTCCATTAAAACCATCATAGATGGCACAGAAGAGCCAACTGTTTTCTTCAGAGCAGACTGCTTGAACCCTGTCTTCACCAGCGGCTCCACCTGCAACTTGTACTTCCGTAGCATTAAGGAAACCATCGGTTATAGAATGAGCAATCAACGGTCTCAGTAAAAAAAAAAAGTATCAGGTGAATAAACTGGACTTGGTGGACTGCAACTTAAGTTTGAGATACTGCTCTGCAGCGAAGATAATATATCCAACCTTGCAAGAGATGGCGAAGAGGGAACCCTACGAAATGAGTTAGGGGAATCCAAACTCGGAAGAATCTCAGCTCCAATCACACCATTACAGATATTCGTGTTGGCCAATGTAGCATTGGCACTTAAGGCAGCACCCGACAAGCAAGAGAAACTGCCGTTCCTCGGCATTTCACGCACATTAGGAGCACTGAAAGGAATACCTTTGGGGCTGTCGCACTGATAGCCGAAACTAACCTTGATTTCCCCTTCAGAATTAATTAAGTCTGAAATAGATTAAACATCGCCATTATGTAAAAATTTTACATAGAAAGGGAGCATAACATTGACAAGGAACAACAGGAAATTATAATGAATCATAAACTAGAATACAGCGTACAGGATCTGAATCTTGATCATAGCAATTAAACCCAAGTTCATAAATAAAAAAAAAGTTAACGATTCTCAATTCCTAACATAAGCTGTTAAACATATAAAAAAATGGCCAGTCTTTTGTACTAGTCAACAACAAAACAGCAAAAACAGTGATAAGACTAATAAAAAAAAAGACTACTTTAATCGAAACAACACAATGAACAACAATGAGTAATTAGTTCAACCCAACCCAACACAACACAACAAAACAAAATATTAAAATATTGAATTAAGCAAAAAGGGTAAGAAGAAAAGAGCATAAAAGAGAGAAACTTGGGTATTGAAATAATGAAAAAACAAAGCCTTTAGAACAAGCACAAAATAAAGAAAGCTAAAAGAAGAAAACCCCACCAGTGTGTTTGAATCAACAAGGTAACCAGAGGCAGAAAAGAAACGTAAGTGTGGAGAAAGTAAGTGAAAGGTATGAACTTTGGGCAAAAAAGCAAAGAGGCAAAAGAAAAGGGGAGATTTTAGATTGAGTGGAGAATCTGGGAGAAGAAGGAAAGAGCGTGCCGTGCGTTGGTTCAATGGAGAATTGGATGGCAGTGAAAGAAAGGGTCTTCGTTTTCTCTATCTGTGTGTTGCTAAATTTGGAGGAATTTTCCTTTATATATATGAAAATTTTCCTTAATTTTCTTCTTTTGGTTGGCTCTGGTTTCTTTAGCTTTCGTTTTGTTTCCTGTCAGATTCACTATTACAGGTAGTGCCTGTTTTTTCCTTCAAATTTGTAATGAGTAAAATACACAAATAGTTTCTTGATTATAAGATGATGTTTTGTTGAGTCCTCTGTATATAATGTATTATTTTATTGAGTCTCTCGACTATTAAAAGTTATAAAATAATCACTCAATTATTCATATGTTCCAAACTTATCTTTTTCCGTTAAAAATTTGACGGCAGCCGAAGTTGGACGATAACCTGCTTATTAATATATAATAAAATTATAATCTCATAATCTCAAACAACTATCATTTTTCAGTCAGTATGTTAACATTCTCATTAGATAATCGCTAATTTATTAAAAGCAAAATGATAAGTTTAGAACATAATAAATAGTTGGGTGACTATTTTGTAACTTTATTAGTTGAATGACTCATAGTCAGAAGATCAGTTTATAACTTTTAATAATAAGTGAACTTAACAAAATAATATTAGGGGATTTTTTTTTTGTACTTTACTCTTTGTAAATTTACCACTTGTCCACGACTTTATCTCTATATTAGTATGCCTATTTTTTAAGGTTACAATTGATGCCTAAACCATGTTTTCTATATTTATTTATCCAAAATTTATTGAGTGATCTCAGTGGTAGTAAGAATGAATATTATTCTCTCCAAAGGATTTACGCACAAGCAACTGTGTCTGCATAATGTATGTATGTTTTCAAAAAAAATATAATTTTTTTTTAATTTTACAGTTAGATCATTAATTTTAAACTCAACAATTCAATAATTTATATGTAAAAGTGAGCAAACATTAGCAGTTCTATCATTTATACACCAAACAAATTAGCACAGGTATTTTAACCTACTAATAACATATAATTTTGGCATAACATGACAAAGTTGAGGGGCCTACCTATTAATTTAACCCAAGTAAAAATATGTTTTGAAGAAGTTGTGATAATAATAAAAAGAAGGTATTATCATGCGAATCCTTCAAAGTTAGAAATAGTTCGGTTTCGTACAGTCCATCGTTTGATGATCCTGACCTGACGGCTAGAAAGAGACAGGAAACTAAACAATGATATACGAAGAAATGATGTAAGTATTCGTATAATACATATTAATACTGTATATAAATATCTTAAAGATAAACCCATCAAGCAATATTAGTGATAAAAAAGGTATTGACCTTCAACAAATCTTTGATTCGAATAATTACATTTATAAAAAATACATATTTAGTCTATGATTAAAAAATAATCTGAATAAATAATATCTTTTAATTTTCTGACAAATTATTCAAAAATTCTAAAGTTGACTGTCAAAATTCAAAGGTGGTGAGCATTGATCATAATATTCCGAGGTCCGAGTCTTCCACACCAGTGAAATGGTTGGTTTGGTTTTATTTATGTAGGATTCAGCACAAAATCTCTGTAACTATGTTTCTATGATTCTTCTTTTGACTTTGGATTTCTTTTGGTAGTCCACTCACCTATAGTAAATACACACATCTAAGTCGAGAGTAAACTAAATACATCACCAAATGCTACATTCAAAAATAACAAAAAAATTGAATTAAATACGTCCGCCATGTGTGAATTTATTGTTAATGGTTAAGAAAGATTCTTATAACCACCTTAGATTATTAAAAAAATCATAAAAATATAAATTACAAATTACTGGTACATAAAATTGACTAAGTCAATTTAATTTCTGAAAATAAACTAAAATAAAAATAATAATAATAGCTAATCATAATGGTGTTTTATAATAATAAAATAAAATCTAATAATAATAAATATACAGTGTAATAAATAAATGACAAAAATAAAATAAAATTAAACAAGACGAGGGAACAAAATTAAACAAAAACAGGACATGAAAGGATCAAAATAACAAATAAGTATGTGAAATTGGACTACACTAAATTACAATAAAAATCAGAAGGTCTATAATAACAATTATCTCCGAAATAACAAAAGGCCGTGACATCAGAACTACAATTTTTTTATGCAAATAGAAGTCGGCAGTGTTATTAAAATGAAAATGGAAACATTTAAAATTACAATGAATGTTTACATCCGTAAGCGTAAACTAAACACGTAATTAGAATATTTTCTATAACCATAGATACAATAAATTAGACACTTCAGATCATACAATGAAAAGATTAAAAATTCATCAAAAAAGCTCGAACAAAATATAGATACGAACAGATCTAACTACATGAGCAAACAAACCATAACAAGAAATCAAACTACTGAAAGCCTATCGATAATCGCAAATCAAAGTTGAGCGTCGTGAGAAAACCATGTTCGAAAATCATGTACTTAAATCTAATACGAGAGTCCAAAGTATGGAATATCAATAGGATAATAAATAAGCATCATCTTGATCAGACAATGCGACATCAAATGTAACCGTTATAAAATTAAACAAAAGAAACAACTAAACGATTGAGAAAAACATATCATAAAACCAGAATAATTAGAATTAAAAAAATAAGAATATGATATAAAAATATATAAAATTAAAAATTATCGATGATCGCGACCAACATTAAAATTGATGTCGTCTGCCACTAAAACTAAAAAAAGAAGGAACAAACGAGACATGGGAGAAAACCAGGCTGAAAACTCTAATAAAACTTTGGATATCATTATTTTTTATCTCATAACAAAGGCACATCACCTTGTTAAAGTTTGTATATTCTATATAATTTTAGTCTAATAGTATCTTGGTTCATGTAAAAATAAACATTTAAATTAAAATATATAATAATTTAGTAAATATTTAATCAAGTAAGGACCGAACTAAATAAGGATAATCTTGTGTTCTCTAAATTTTTGGTCTAATAACAATTTAGGTCATTGTAAGTTTAAATATTAGACAAATTAGGTGTTATCTTGTGAATTTTGAGTTTTTTTTTTAATTTAGAGTTAATACAAGGTAATATATGTACAAAGACTCTCAACTATTTGACAATGAACGTTCATACCCCTACATACGCAGTGCTCGAACTTCGAGACCTCAAGGATAATAATAATCCCTTAATTACTAAGGTTGCTTGGTTTGTACTGAATTTTGAGTATAAATACCTAATAAATCTTTATTTTTTTTAAATAATTTAATATTTCAGTCTCTATCAATTTTAGTTCTGGCACCGTCCCTGATGACATTATTCACAACATATCATATATCAATAAAGATAATTATTGTTATTCTTATAGTGGAATGGATATTCTTTATATATATATATATATATATATATATATATATATATATATGTAACACTCTTATTTTTTCAGTGGTGTAATTCGATTGATGATGAAGCTGTGATTTTAAGAATTATGAGTCCAAATATTTTTGTTATTATTAATTATTGGGTTGACTCTTAAGTCGAATTGGTTCGATTAAAGGTTTTAAAAAAGAAAATCTAAATTTATGAATGAAGTTACTACGGAATTCATTAAAGAGAAAAGTCAAAGGACTAACAGACAAATTTTACCATTGTTGTTGTTAATGGAATTAGATGACTCTTGCTAAATGATGGACATGAAGAATCTATAATAAGGGGTAATCTAAGTTAATTAAAGAAATTAGATTAGTAATATTTTGAAAAATAAAATAAACTTTTGATTGATTTTGAAAAGTCAAAAGACTAACAGAAAAATATCAAATTAAAATCTAAATTAAATATTATGTATGATTTAAAAAAATTATACTAAAATAGAAAAAAAGTAATAGTTTATATACTAAATATGTAGTTTATTTTTTTGTCAAATAAAGAAGTATTACATTTCTAATTAAATATAACATTTAAAATACATCCAAAAATACTAACATGAATATTTTGACTATTTCGATAATTAATAGATTTTATTATCCCTTATACCTATTCACCTCTAAGTTGTCCACTACCAGTCTCAACCCTTCGTATCATACTACTTCTATACTTTTTTTTCCCTTAAAGACTAACAGAAAAATATCAAATTAAAATCTAAATTAAATATTATGTATGATTTAAAAAAATTATACTAAAATAGAAAAAAAGTAATAGTTTATATACTAAATATGTAGTTTATTTTTTTGTCAAATAAAGAAGTATTACATTTCTAATTAAATATCAACATTTAAATATACACATAATAAAATAACATGAATATTTTTGACTATTCGATAAATTAATAGATTTTTATTATCCCTTATACCTATTCACCTCTAAGTTGTCCACTACCAGTCTCAACCCTTCGTATCATACTACTTCTATACTTTTTTTCCCTTAATAAAATGTTTATAGTTTTTTATATCTTATAAAAGAGATGAACTATTTTATCCATAAAGAATTGGGAGAGTGAACCAGACTCTATCTCAAGGCCAAATTGCTCTCCTTTTTGGCGGTCTCTCGCCTAAGTCTGGACTCCTTTTTCGAGAAAATATTGCTTGGACAGTTGGCGACGGCTCTTCCATTGATTTTTGATCTGATAATTGGGTTCCGACGATCGGTCCTTTACTTCATTGGGCTAATCCGGGAATCATAATTGACACTACGCTTAAGGTACGCGATCTTTGCCATGAAAACGACTCTTGGAATTTGTCCTTGTTGCGTCATCTTCTTCACCCGTTTGCTTGGCCTTATTTGATCAATATTCCAGCTCCATCTACCACCCTCGGAGAAGACACTTGTTTCTGGAATACTGATTCAAACCGTAAGTTCACGGTCAAGAGTGCTTACAAACAACTTGCATTACCAAATTGGAACATGACAAGTCCTCGATGGAAGTTGATTTGGAAACTCCATGTCCCGGAACGAATTCGTTCTTTTCTTTGGCTCGCTGTGCAGGACAGGATTCTCTCGAACCAAAACCGTTGTTTACGAGGGCTGAGTCAGGATCCTTCATGCTGTATTTGTGGCTGCTCTGAGGAATCTGTCCTTCACATCCTCCGTGATTGTCATCCGACGCGTTCTTTATGGGATTAGATGCTTCATGGGCGTTGGAATGGTTCCTTCTACAATCTATCGCTTGAGGACTGGTTCCATGCAAATCTTAGCACTGATTTTTTTGTCTTGAGCTTGCGATTCCTTGGTCGATCCTATGCTCCTCCATTGTGTGGCAAGTCTGGAAACAAAGAAATAATTTCATTTTCAATCCATTACGAGCACCCAGGATTGCTTGTTGCGTCTCATTAGTGCGTGGGCCAAGTCTTATTTTGCTCCACAATCCCACATGAAGAGCTCGGCAATGGCATCCCTGCTTGTTGGTAATACTCAATCCCAAATAGTATTAGAAATATTATTGGGAATGGATATTTATGGTTTGGATTTCCCACTTCTTTGTTGAGTGAAAGAGAACAAGGGAGACTTGTGCACCGTCGTCCGTCTCGGCTCGGCATGGCTCGTGCTCGTGGTCATGATTATACCATCATGTGTGCTTTCCGATCAGAAGTGTAATATCATCAGCAGTCCATTTCAGTTTTCGGGTGTACGAAATTCGGAGCGACCGTGTTAACTTCGGGAGACGGTCCGCCTACTGCAGCGATTACACACATCGGGACGAATTCGTTTCTAAGGCAGTGGTTATACCACAACACGGTTTACGAATCTGTTCCTTTTAATTATTGTTTATATTTCCAATCAGTGCTAACGGTGTAGTTTTACAGTCTATTTTACCAACACTCCTCTTGTTGGATTTGTATAAACTGTTATGGAGCAGTATCTCGAACATCAAATATTGGTGCTGCAGGTGGAATTTTCAGAGACCATACAGGTGATTTCCTTTTGGCTTTCAATAAGCATATTGGTATTTCATCGGCTATTCATGCAGAACTCTGGAGTATCTATGAGGGCTTAAATCTTGCTTGGTCAAATGGTTTTGAGCGCATTTTGATTTAAAAGGATAATGCGGATGTTCACGACTTACTCCGCTGTCCATGGAGAGCCCTTTTTCTCTCGTACGGTCAATCGCTAGTTTATGTAAAAAAGCTTGGTTTGTGGACTTCATGCTAATTCGACGAGAGTCTAATGCAGCTGCTGACTTAATGGCCAAACTTACCGACTCTCAAGTGGTTACTCTTACCATCTTCGACTCCCCTCCGATCTGTCTCCAAGGAATTCTTGTGAGAGATGTCACTTAACCTCATTACCGACGCGTCAAACATAGATGTACTGGTCTTGGCCTCCTTTTCACATTCCAAAAAAAAAAAGATGAACTATTTAAAAAGATAATTAGTGGATATCCACAGAGTGATTGACAAACTTAAATTACTAGTAGTGGCATAATCGCAAATAAAACCAAACCCCATTGGCTTTCTCTTACCAACAACAACTTATAATCCTAAAACGTTCCCTTCCTTCTTCAACGGAAAACCACAAGAGAAAACTCGAAAATGGGAAGCGCTAGATTCTCCTTCAGTTTCCTCGCGATTTGCGCGATACTGGCCGTCCACGTGGCGTATTCCGCTTCGTCTCCCGCCCTTGATTTCGGTGGTGACCATTTCTTCTCGATTAAATTGGAGTGTAGCGGATCCATGGCGGAGTGCCTGATGGCAATTGGCGAGGAAACGTTGGACTTGGACGCCGAGTTCGCCATGGGCTCGGAGATCAGCAGGCGCATTTTAGCGACGACCCGCTACATTAGCTATGGCGCGTTGCGGAGGAACACGGTGCCATGTTCACGTCGTGGCGCGTCGTATTATAACTGCCGGCCTGGAGCTCAGGCGAATCCTTACTCACTCGGGTGCAATAGAATTACGCGCTGTCGGCGTTAGGTTATTATTTTTTTATATTCTTCTATTATTATAAAAGTCTCTATAATTTAAAAAATGTAATATTTTCTTGTATTTCTTCTTATATACGATTTATACATAATTTTGTGTATTGCCGGTGTATTGTTATATTTTTCTTTTTTATATTTTTATCAACAATAAGAATTAATTGAATGGATTACATTTATGTTGTCTAATAATGTAATTATTATATTTATATATAATAATGTAATCATTATATTTATATATAATAATGTAATTATTATATTTATATATAATAATGTTGTCTAAGAATTTAGGGGTGTTCAATTGGTCGGTTATATTAATTAAAATTTATTAATCGAAACTTTTTTCCAGTCAAATGGATTTTTTTTTCAAAAATTATTAATTGAATCGAATTAAGTTCTTTAATTCGGGTTAAATGAAATTATATATATATATATATATATATATATCTTTGGTTATTTCGATTAAAATTAAAATATGTATAAAGTTAAGTAATATATATATATATATATTAAATATTTAATAATTTCAACTAATTTGATTAATTAACCAATTTCAAATCGGATTAATTGATAACAAAAGTTTAAAAAAATATTAACTTTCAACCAATTGACCAAAATTAACGGGTCGGTAAATAAAAAAATTAATTCATCGATTAATTCGATTAAAACTAAAATTTAAACCCTCTTACTAATTATATTTTAAGATACTTTACGTGAGTTTGTTGGGTACGAAATCGGACGGCGAAAACAGTCACAAGCTGTGTTTCCGAGAGGAAAAGGGCGTTTTGGATTAGATTATGGGGGCAGACACGGTCACACGGATCGTAATTGTGGTTGTTGAAAATGCATTTTTATCATTTTTAAATAAATATATTTAATTTTCTAAAAATTTATCATATATTTAAATCCGAGACAAAAGTGAGTGCCAAAAGAAGAAAAATTGTTGCTGAAAAAGTCTTTTTTTCTCATTTAACCAAATCAGTTAGTGATATAATTAAGTAATTAAGAATGGTAGATATAAAATTAGGAATAAAATGAGAGGCTCTACCATCAACTGGTTAGTAGTATATTGAGATGAAATATTAAACCCCTTAAGTAAGATCAATAATTTAATCATGATATTTGTAAATAGAACAAACTGAATTAGAAAAATTGTCCTCATATTGGACCTTTACAATATCCAATCTGAATTAATCGATTAATAAAATAAAAACATGTTCCAAAATGATAAGCCAAAGGCAAAGCCAACTGTAATCGGCATCTCACACCTGTAATTTGCTGGGCATTAACATCAAGAATTTTTGGACCACAATTGCACTATTTATTTATGATTTGATATTATAAGCAAAATCAACTACTTTATTAATCTAATTACTTAGTGAGTAGCATGACTTGATACTAATGGGATTCCGCAAACCATCATGAAACTCATCTACCAAACTAGTATTTTCTATATATAAATCAATTCCTCTTTTCAGGTATCTGTTACTTAAACAGCTCATCCCAATCATACAACATACATTGAAAAAGGGTACAATATTATATGGAAATACAAATTAAAGGAGGCATTAGGTACAAGTATAAGGTATATGTGCCTGTTTGTTACTGATTTTCCATATTAGAAAAGATAGGCACCAAAAGGAACACAGGGTCTAGAAATACCATGATGTTAACGTTGGATTGACACCATTAGGGATCTTTGGGTGACTTGGAATCGTCCTTCGCCCCAGAAGGAACTGAAGGAGAAGGGGACGTATCTCCATCCATCTCTGTTCGGAGATCATTGATGCTTTGCTCTAGCTCATCTATCCTGCTGCCCATCTCATCAAGTACATTAAAGTCAAGGAAATCAAGTGCAATTTAATGCATGAATACATGTGTCCCGTTAAGTTCATATTGCTTCATCTTGGCTTTAGAAACCCGTAAAGAACAAGGTTAAGTGAAATGAATTGAAATTTGGCAACCCATACTTTCCCCAACAAACTAAAAACCATCAGCACCTTATGAAGTTTCCATTTTGCTTATTGCAAAGCGAAATCCTTAACAATCTCCACCGAAGAACCACAAAATCACCAAAACAGCTAAGCAAAAGTTATATATATATATATATATAGAGAGAGAGAGAGAGAGAGAGAGAGAGACAACAGAAATTCTCTGATGCTATGTAGAAACTAATGAAGAAAATCACCTCCTTAGGTTGAAGTAACTAGATAATATGAAAAGGATATTCTTCGTAATGATGGAATCAGACATTGTTTGGAACCTCGATTGCTGTAATATGTAATAACAGGGCAAACTTAGCTAGATCTGCTTAAATTTTATTGTTTATTAATTCCTTATAGAATGTCAAATCAATTCAAGAAAAGAACTCACCATCTGTTCAAGTAGACTCTGGACCTGAAAAATGATACAATCAATTCAGTATAATCTGGATGACTATTAAGTAAACCATAGAACCATAACACTGAAAAATCCATGAAATGAAACATAATGAAATCTCCATGCTTTTCCGCTGTTTCGTAAAACATAAGATGGTTGAAAGCAACCCATTCAATTTAAGTGAAGTGCTCAGAATACACCATAATTTGTCTGCTCTAAATAACCATGAAGGGAAGGAAACAATCTTAAGTCCATCTGTGATACATAAAAGCGTCTGGGAACTTGAAAAGTAACTTACGAAAGCTGCCATATCCGCATTGTCCTGTTTCTTATCTTCAGATCCATTCCCATCCTGCAAAATAGAAGCTAAAATGAAAACCATACAGCACAAAATGCTATCAAGAGTGTCAATATTTGCCACCGTATAAAATAAAAACACGTGATATTTTCTGAAGGAAGCAAAAGTTTCTTCCATGAACAAGTTCAAGCCTAAAAATTGGGTCTGAAGACACAATCGGTTACGTGCCTGATACACGATTAATCGATTTTTATTCAAGTTCTTCCATGCATTTGTGGAGAGTCGTATGCCATGTATCGATCTGAGTCCGACAAGGGCACTTCAGGAAAATAAAGAGCCATAGCAACATAGAATTATCAATCCGATTAGACCCAAAAAGTTCAAACATACTAGTTTAACCTAATATTAAATGCCACTGCAACACAAAAACAAATAAAACCACGACTACATTTAAGAATGAAGTCTATCGTTAAAATCTAACTACATTAACAAGCGGAAGAAAGAAACATATTGTATAAACTGATTAGTTTCCACAGTTATAGCATTTGAATCTAATACTCAGATTCACATCCCAAGAATTTGTCAGCTTTTAGCAATCATAACCATGGCTCCATTTCACATTTCTTGTTTTGAGCAATAGATTACAACTGAACAGATCAGATTCAATAACAGGAAACTCAAAACCCTAATCTAATAATCTTCGATAAATAAATGGAAAATTAATGAAAAATTATAGGATTTTAAATGAAAAATTACATAAAAATATTTTATTTACGGAAAATGAAATATACCATTCTCTGAAATTTCTTGACTAAGAATCTTTTCGCTGCTTGGCGGCGGCGAAATGGGTAACTCTTTGGGAGAGTGAGTGACTCAGTCGATGACGCGGGTATATTTTTGTAATGCTAAATGAAATAAAGGTAAACTACACAAATAGTTACTTAAATATTAATATGTTTAACTTTTAGTACTGAAGTTTTAAAAGTAATAAAATAATCACTAATATTATCGTTTTATAAGAAATTAATCATTTAATCGTTAAATATTGTTATCTCCATTACAGAAAACTGATTTTACATGTTTAAAATATTAAAATATTATTATTAAGTCATTTCAGATCATGGTTCACAAATCATTCACTTCAAAAATATAAAATTGAGGAAAAATGATGAGTATGATAACGTTCAATTTAGACGTTCACACATTTTTAATAGAAAATATGAGTTTGGAACATATGAATAGTAAGGTGATTATTTTGTAATTTTTGATTTTCAATAAACTCAACAAAGTAGCAATTTACAGTTATGAGACTATTTTGTAATTTTTAATAGTTGGGGACTAAACAAAATGACAACCTATAATCAACGAACCATCTGTATACTTTACCCTAAAATATATGGAAGTTTTTGGGCTAATCGAAAAACTAATGCAATAATGTGAAAATTAAATGAAATGAGATATACAGGGAAATCAAGCCAATCTTTCCTCTTTTAACGTAGAATTTACTTCAAAAAGAATAAATTAATTATAATCTTTAATTCAATATGGAAACCCAATATTTACTAAAAAAAACTAATTTCCAACCCTATATTTACCTCTACAACTCTGCAAATTATAGTTTCGAAGTTCTCTTGACAATGTCCTCTGAAATTCTCCAAATCCAACATGATAACCAACCAAGGCGAGAAACCCTGGTTATGGTCAAACCGGAAGACACAACGGTTCAAACCATGAAAGCTCTCTTGTCACTCACCATAGCCATTGCAATCCCCCTCTCCCTTACTCTTTTCATCATCTTCGAATTCGGTTCGGCCAAATGGTATCGAGTCATGATGTCCAGACCGATTTGGTTCCCTCCCTTATGGCTCGTAAATCTCGCATCGATCGGGTCTAGTTTCAACATGAGCCTTGCTGCGTGGCTCGCTTGGGTGGACCATGGATTCCATATGAATTCTGATGTTTTGCCTCTTTATATTTCTCAAGTTTCACTAAGCATTGTTTGGCATCCTCTTCAACTCGTCATCGGATCGGTTCGGGTTGGATTCGTGGTTTGTTTATTACATTTCGGAACTCTTTTTGCTTGCTATCATAGTTTTAGAAAATTTAATAATTTTGCAACATATCTTGTTGTGCCTTGCTTGGTTTGGTCTGCATTTCTTACCATTATTACTTGTAAACTCACACTAATTGAAATTTAGGGATGTAATAATTTTGAATTTACTTGAGTTGATTCATATAACCATAATAAAATATTTACATTTAGCATGTTTGGATGAGTTTCTGCATCTTTATCTATTTTCCTATTTTTCATATATATTTAACCTTATATATAATATATGCATATATTTAAATTTAATAGTATTAATGGAATTTTTTTCCAACCTCACCTCAAATTTTAAATTTGAATTTAAACATACATCTCATTATTTACTGGTTTTAGCAGTAGGAGAAAATATTTTTTTCTCCAGACAATTCAAGTTCAAACATATGTATCTATACTGTGTGTATATGTTACGAATAAACTAGGAAATTTATGAACAAAAACTATTTTATAATTCAGAATATTCAAAAAAAATAAGGCTTAATGAAAAAAATGAGTGTTCCAACTATACTCCTTGTTCACTTTAGATGCCTATTTTTTTAGTTCAAATTAAATACCTAATACGTACGTTATTCTTTTAAGTGTCTCCGTCACAACAGGCCTGCTGCAGTTTCCTTTACCATTTTTATCGAAACTGCAACCCGTTCGACCACATATATATATATGTGAACACACCAACCGTTTGAGGCATTGTAGAAGGCAGTTTCAACGTAAACCCTTTTCCATGAAAGTTGCATCCGTATGTGATTTTCGCCGGCCATATCGTCTCCTTGAACTGATCATTCACGAGGGTAAAATTTTTGGCATTTGCAGACTTTGTTGCACCTTATCAAATATAAATGCGAAGTGATTACATTTACGATTTACTACAAAAATTCACAAAGAAAACAGATAACTAAAAATGGGAAAGTTACCTGATGCAAATATAACGAAAATGCAAAGAAGTAATATGGGATTGTGAGGCAATGCCATTGCCATGGTAGAGAATATCTGCGGGGACAGCGAGGAAGATGATACACTGGATAGGAAGGATTTGTTTGAGTTATTGTGAAGTATATAAAGCGAAAACTATATAAGTAGTGGTATCTTGTGTTTTGGATATGTTTGGTTGTGATTAATATAATAAATATTATTATTTTTAAATGATTGACATGTTATTTTTTTCACGTCATTACTATAGTTTACGTGGACATATCACATCAATAATTTAATATTTATGAATTTAGTTTTTATTAAAATCATATGTGGTATTAAAATAATAATAAAATATGACACATTATATGAAAATAATAATAAAATAATTCATATATTTTAGAATGAAAATTTATATATAAAGTTCAATTATTAATTTGAAAATTTTAAAAATATAATCAGTAGAATATGAGAAAGTAAATTTCAGTCACTAAATTTATAATTTACCCAAAAATCAAATTATCAAAACGACCTGCCTTTATTCTTTGAAACGCAGCGTTTCTTAAACTTTCCCAAATCTCTGTCATCTTCGAATCCACACTGAAAATTCTCATTTTTGTTGTTTGTTTTCCGTATTTGGTATGATAATACCAATGGCTTCCTCTTCTTCATGATATCAAACGACAACGTTTTGAAACAGCGAATGGAACCGCCGCCGTTGCACCACCATCATCAGCAGCTATTGAAAATGAAGGTCTCACCGCCGCCGCCGCATCACTCCGACAACGACCGTAGCAGCAGTGAACTTCGCGCCGTCGATTGCAACCTCAATTCCCTTTGCGAGCACATCCAATTGGAAGGTTTCAACGGCGGTTCCTTCTCCGACGTCGTCGTAAACGCCATGGGATCCACCTACCACCTCCACCGTCTAATCCTCTCCCGTAGCTCCTACTTCAGGTCATCCAAATTAACATGCAAGATCAAATGCCTAAATCCTCTTCAATCAGACACTGATTTTAATTCCCTCTCTTTTTTAAATCAGGAATATGTTGCAGGGACCTTGGAAAGAAGCCAAAGCTCCAATAGTAACGTTAAACGTCGACGATAACAACGTTAACAGTGAAGCTATAGCCATCGCGTTGTCTTATTTGTATGGACACCATCCCAAGCTTAATGATAATAATGCGTTTCGCGTTTTAGCTGCTGCTTCATTTCTTGATCTTCAGGTCCTTAAACTGATCGAACCTTTTTCTTAAAAAAATAGCTTATATCATTTTTCCTGTTAATGAAGCTATTTTTGGCACGTGAAACTGATTGCAGGATCTATGCGCCATATGTACGGACTTTATCATATCTGAGCTGTGGACTTCGAATTTCTTAGCACATCAGGTTTCAACATTTAAATTTCATTATTTCTCTTCTTTTTCTTTTGGTGTATTAATCGGAATTTGGGTGTAAATTTAGGTGTTTGCTGAGAGTCAAGATTATGGGATACATGGGGAAAGGGTGAGAAATGCTTGCTGGGGCTATCTTTGTCAAAGTGGTGCGATGGAATTGAAAGAGGTAAAGCTGAAAAGGTCCTATTTATGGATTTACCAAATAACATACTTGATTTTAGCTGTGTGATATTATGACTCAATTGTAGATGAACTAACAATTTGTCCATGTACAATAGGTTAATAGTGAATGTTTTTGCTTTTCTTCACTAACTGGTCTATGGTTCACTTTCACTGTGTAGGTGTTACCTAAACTTTCTTCTCAGACTTTACATGCATTGCTGACCTCTAATGAGCTGTGGGTACATAGTGAAGAAAAACGGTAAGATGTATAGGCGGCAGCCCCATAAACTTGGATTTTGTGGTTCATGTTTATATGGTTTGATGAACTAGTATTTTCATTTTTTAAAGGTTTGAGCTCGCATTGTATACTCTCCTTGCGAAAGATGCTTTTTTCCAGGCTGAACATTCTGATCAAGGAATTTCATCTGCTAAGATGGCAATGGGCAGTTCTCCTCACTCTTCTAAAGCAAAGGGAAAAAATTTAGTTGATAGCTGCCCTAGTAAGAGATTGGAATCTACAATGGAACGCCTAAATCTAAGAGAAGATCACCTGGTTGAGCTTGCAGATTGTGTGGTTGACATCCAGACAGGTTTATCTAGCTCGGACCAACAGGTGCTGCAACCTGAATATTCTCGCTTGGAGCCTATGTATGCTGGCAACAGTTATAAGTCTTCATCAACAAGTAGCCCATTTTCAGATGCAGAGGGGATAAGAACTTCATGTTCATATGTTGAAGTCCCAGTTGGTGTTGGAACAAGTGGATTGAGAGCCTGTGGAATGGGCATGGAGGGACCATCCAAGGAAGGCTCATGCTACCATTTGAGTAACAATAATTGGTTTGCAAGTGATCAATCGAGGCATTGTTCTTCTGTGGACTCATCCGGTAGTGAGCTAATGTTGAATGATTGGGCAAGATATGGTGTGGCTTCTCTTTCTTGGGGTGGCAGGGTTGTGGGTAAAAGACAGGTAAAAAGCTATGCAAAAGGGAACTATGGGGCTCATGTTGAGGAATATGATTCTTTCGTCAATATATTTGAAGGGGGTTCACTTCTATATTGCAACATGTCCTTTGAGGCACTTTTGAATGTGAGAAAGCAACTTGAAGAGTTGGGATTTCCTTGCAAAGCTGTGAATGATGGTCTTTGGGTGCAGGTATGTCAGCTGTACCTGTTTATTTTCATTTCTGTCTTAACTGGTGCTGTGTAAGGGATGTTTATTGAATGATGTGATGATATGAAGTTAATAATAACTTCTCTGCTAGTGATAGACATCATTTGTGTTGATGAATAGGTTTAGGGTTGAATATTTGGGAAGTCATTCAATCTAGTGGTTTTCGAATAATCTGTTAGTTAGATTAACATGGCAAAGACTGTTTTTGTTTTTCTTCTATTAGTTTGCATTTTCTTCCTTTCTAATATAAGCATATATATTTCTTTAAAATTGTGGCCTCTGCTTCTAGCCTTGATAAGAATTTTTTTTAATGGATATTATGTAGATGCTATTAAGCCAGAGGGTGCAAGAAATTGGAGCTGACACATGCAAGAATTGCTGTCTTACTACTATGCAATGCGCTTGCAGGCAGCCTTTTGGACTTCAGCATGGAGTTGCTACTGCAGGTTATCATGTGCAAGAGAACGATCAAAATCATCTAACTGGCAATATTGGAAATGTGTATGTGGCTGATAATTCCCAAGGTGAAGGAAATGGCCTCTTTGGGCCAGTAAGAGTCCATGTTAGGAGACCTATTGATGGGTTGGCTGGTATTGGACGTGGTGCTACTTTTGTTCCTGCCACTGCATGGCCTCCAACTCGTTTTGTCTTTTCCCGTGTGCCCTTTGGTACAGGCAACAGGAATGGCCAACAGTCTCTTGCTAATGATTCGGAGGCTAGAGCTGAGTATGCCGGAGACATGTCTGGAGGTGGTTTAACAGCTCTGGTTGAGTTAAGCCAAGGAGGAAGTAATGCCTCTAATGTTCAAGGAGAAACCGAAAGGAGTTATGTGACGGATATGCAAAGCAGAGTTCCTGTAATTTCTGCTGCTGGGCCAAGTGCTAGTGGAATTGCCATGCACATGCTCGAGTCACCGGAACAGACCATTGGAATTGAGTGGGAGAGTGCAACTAGTTCTTCTATATCGTTGGACATGAAAACTCCTCTGAATAACTTCCCTCCCTTTCGTTTTGGGTAAGTTATTTTGTCACACACAACTGTGGGTATGTGTTCATAAACCACAGAGGTTGGTGCATAAATTAGGGGTGGAATAATTCTTCCACTTGGGGTCATAACATTGTTATCTTTTCTCTGAATCTAATGTATTATAAGTAAAATATTACCTTTATTAGCTACCAATAGAATTGATGCTCTTGATCACATTCTTCGAGATTTTAGGGTGCCCATCTGTTCTTTACTGTAAATATGTATATCTTCTTTTTTTGGTACTTCAAAGTTGAAGAGTTATTCTGATATATGTTCCATAAATCGTTGATGGCTCCACAGGGTTGAATTTGAGGATGTACTCAGGCTAAGTGATGGGCAAGTTGAGCACTCTCCTGAATTCTTTTATGCGGGTTCCCTATGGAAGGTATTTGAATATGATGACCCTTCCTGAGTAGCATGACCCGTTTAGTTTTGCTTCAAACTTGTCTTAGTTTCTCTTAGTATCCAAATGTGATTCTATTTTTATCTGAAAGAGAATCACGGAACTAGAAAAATTAATAATTGTTATCTGATGCTCTGGTTTTGAATGTTCTGGAATGGCTCCTAACTCTGTTATGTATAGAACTTGTTGATGTTATTAGGCTTTCCAATTCTATTTCCTAGGTTTGTGTGAAGATCTGCATTCTAAGATCCATTTTGATTTACAGGTTAGTGTTCAAGCCTTTAATGACGAAGATCCTCAAGGACGTAGGACTCTCGGTAATGTTCTAATTCGTAGAATGATTAAACCTCAAAACATTTTGTTATTGTTTGTTCATTCGAGATGATTTTGCAATTTTTTCTAAATGAGTTTTCTCCCATCAGGCTTATTTCTTCACCGGCGGAAGGCTGAAATAACCGACTCTCTGAGAAAGGTCAGCCTTCTTTTTCTCCATATCACAAAGCATGAGAGAGTCTTTTGTTCTATTTCATCCATGGAACATTTTCTTTCCTGTTTAGATCTTGGTGACAACAATTTGTTGTCTTCTTATTGGAAGAATATAACCTTATCTTTTCAGTAACACACCTATTAACTACATACAGTCAGGCACGGGTATTGGAATATGACCTAATCCTTAAGCAACATAAAAAACATACCCGTATTATATACACTTGTATCTAACAGTCACATTCGAGTTAAAGTAACAATGAGAAGCATCTTGTTTTCACTTTTCAGGTTCACATGTATGTGGATTCTCGTGAAAAGGTTACTGCCCGATATCAGGTAATCGACATGTCTGTGGTAACATTCATAAAAATCATACACAGAGACGACATGTGTGTTTTATTAGTAGTAATCAGCATATGTTATGGCTTAATTTTCCAGTTAATTTGTCCATCAAAGCGAGAAGTCATGATGTTCGGAAGCTTCAAACAAAGAGGAACACTCTTACCAAAAGCTCCCAAGGGTTGGGGATGGCGGACAGCTCTGTTGTTCGATGAGCTTGCCGATCTTCTTCAAAATGGTGCCTTGAGAATAGCTGCTGTGGTGCAACTTGTCTGAAAATATTGATGTTGGACACATGTCCAGACATGGTATGAATACTCGGTCCTGCAAATACATGAACAAACTTGAAAAAAAAATTGACCATATTCATTTTTACGCATATATACCTGTACCCGTCATTCACGTCCGAGTCCGATGATCAATTTCCGTGCAGATTTCTTATCGTTACAGATGAGGCAGACTTAAAGCTCGATATCCATTGATCTGTGCAGCTTTTTACGTTTAGTGGATGATCAATCTGACCATTTTTCCTTCTTTCATGGTTAATTATATGCAATTTAAGTATAATAAAGTACAGATACATAAATTTTGGTCAAGTTGTATAAAAAGTTTTATGTATTGTGTGTTTTTTGTGAAATTTTTTTAACAGGCAATCAAACATAAAAGATATCATTTTAGGCTTGGTTGATTGACATTAAATTCTGAGTTCAATTTGAGCAACTATTTTCTTCTTTTTTTAAAAAAAATTGATCAATTCTTATTTTTCTATTTTCTGAAATGCATATATATATATATATATATATATATATTATTTCAAGGTGAACATACAAGTTGTAAATAATTAGTAAGTATCAAAACGGAAATTTAAGACAGATTGAAAGTTTTATTTAAAAACATTGCAAATTTCAGGTTTATACACATTTAAAAATAATAACAATTTTTTTTTAGGAAGAAGGTTGTGATCTAGACTTAGTTGTTAACCATATTTTTATATTGATTGGATTTAATTCAGTTAACGTTGTTAGTGGTATATAATATAGAAGGGCGTAGAATCAAGCATATTTAAGCATTTAATATCTTTATGTTTGTATGCGAGTTTCATAAGCAGTTAATAATTAAAATCAAAAACGGAAATTTAAGACGGATTGAAAGTTTTGGTTAAAACATTGGAAATTTTATGATTACACAAATTTTCACAATAATTTTGAATTTTAAATTCAACTTGTTAATTCCGTATTCTCTTAACCAGAATCCATAAATTAATCTTTTAAACTTCTCAAAATTCAAGTTCTAATTTGAATTCTGACACGTAACATTTTGTAGCTTTTATTTCGAAACGAGACTATGATGTTGTCTTCTTTTATATACAAAATGCCTAACAACATCCGCCTGAAATAAAACATGGTGCATTCAAGAGTTGTTAATCGGTTTAAATGTTGAAGACAAACATACAAATCACTACAACATCAGTTATCTGCTCCTTTATGTGTTCAGTATAATTCATTTTTGTTCCTTATAATTTATCTCTGATTTTATATAACATTAAACCCCCAAATTCCGTGGATCACTAAAGTAACCCTTAAATTCGATATCAGATTTAGGATTTTAACTCTCGTTCATGCAGTTAATTTTGATCAAAACCTCCGCACTACTAAGTTTCCTAGCTGTTGTCTTCTTCATTCAGGAATAGAATGCGGCAGGTGGGTGGAGGAGACTTCCCCTAATTTTTTTTATTTTAGGTTTTTTTCTACGTATTTTCTATTGTAAATCTGTTTTCGTCTCCCAAAATTCTATAGGTCCGTATATTCCTAATATTTTAGAAGTTTATGCCATAATAAAATTTTACGTTTGTTTATGTTTCCATACGATTTTAAGTAGAGAAGATAAATGAGATACGTTAAAGTTTAAGATTAACATATGAGAAGTAAAATAAGGGAGAACCGGCATAAGTTTTGAGAAATAATCCTGAAATTCACATATTATTTTTGAGGTAATATGATTCAAAATAACAAAAATGTGGTGGGAGGTAATACAATAAGAGATCGGTGATGAATTAATTAATTAATAAATCAGATATCGATAATTATTAAAAAAATAAAATAGTTTTTTTTGGGGAAAAGATAATAAACTTTTCATAAACCAAATGCATCCTAATTTCGTAAAACCCACTAAATTTTGTCCAATTTTTATTTAGTAAGATGCCTTTTATGTCACTTTTAATTTTAAAATTAAGTAATTATGTTCCTCTAGAAAATATAATTAATTTAATTTTATTAATTCTAAAAGTGAATAGTTAAAAACAATTAATATTGATTTTAATTTTTTCTTCAATTTGTTATAGTTTTGATTGACATAATAATAAAATCACCCTCAATGTTTATATATTTTGTTAATTTGAGAATGATTTTAAAAAATTTAACACATAATTTAAACATTTTATAAATATTATGAACTAATTCTTTTATTATATAATTAAAATTTTCCAAAATTATAAAAAAAAAATAACATCGTGATTAATTATCCTCGATTTCAAACTTTGGAAATGGATAGAGTTAAATTGTTCATATTTTTATAAGGGGTTTTGGGAAATTTTCAAATTAATAAAGACCGAAGTGGTAATTTTACCTTTGTATTTTTTATGATTGGCAGGCATTCGTTTCCAAAACATAAAACTAAAAAACGCTGCGTTTAAAGTTGGTTCCTTTTTGTCCCGCGAAAGCAATTGCGAAATTTCCAATATCCCCAATTCAATTTTTTTTCTACTCTTTCAATTCTCTACTTTTTCTGGTTTTTTTTATCCAATTTACAGCACCGCTAGCAGTAACGGTTCATTCCTTTGCAAATTCCTCAAATTTGTCATCGATTCTCTTCCGTATTCTCCCCTTTATTTTCTGAAATTTTCTTGGCTTGTTTTAGTTTCAAGAAAAAAAAATTCTGATCTTCTTATTGTGTTTTGAAATATACGGCTTTTCAAATTCTGGGTTTCAATGTTTTTGCTTTAAAAGTAATTATTCTGGGTTATAAATCTAAGGGTTTTTCTTAAAAACCCTAGTCTCTGAAATCTAGTTTCATGTTTTTCGTTAAATGGGTATTGCAATTTTAGGGTTTACAGTTTTTGAATTTTATCAATGGGTGCTTTAGCAAGCAATCGTAAACGCTGTGGAGATGAATATTTCAATTCCAATTTCAACCACAAAAAGAAATCCCCGTATTCAAATTCCCTGGATTTTCAGTTTTTCCAAAAACCCAGGTTTTCTTTGATGAACCAAAGCCCAGAAAAAGCAATTTTACCTTCCAACAGAACTGTCTTGAGAATCTCTCGTTACCCAGAAGCTAAGTCAACTTTCCCTAGAGCAGTCCACGGCTCCACGCCCCTGTCAGACATCTAAAATTTGGGTTACCAGCTTCAAAACACAAACAGGATTCGACTAAAAGCGATATGGGGAATTTCTTGAGTAGTAGATTCAGTAATGTGAAAAGGCAAGATTGGGATGCTTTGATCCATTTTAAGAAGGAAAAAGAAGTAATTTTTGTGGAGGATGATGAGAAGGAAAAAAAAGGGGTGGTTACAGATGATCTTAATGATGAAGAAGTGGAAATCATTGAGAAAGGGAAGAATAATGTGGAAGAAGAGAGGCGCTTTCAGCCATCGTCTTCATCTGATGTTACTGAGTTGAATAATGGGAGTCTGAGAATGGAGAGTTCCTTGGATATGTCTTCATTAAGGGAGATTTCCTATGTGCAAGATGTTGAAGCTTATAAGAAGTTGATGGAGGGTGCAGAGAGGAGAAACTGCAATTTGAAAGAAATAGATTTTCGAATTGAGTTGAATGAGAAGCGCAAAGCTGGACTTGAGATATTGCGACCTGAAAAGAAACTAGAGGAGGAGAAAGTAGAAGTAAGATTCTTTTGCTTGCTTTGTTTCAATTGTGCCGCATTGTCTTGGTAGAGTATTTTGAACCATTTTGTTGCTTCTAGAATAGAATAAATGGCATTTTTATTTGTTAAAAATGTTTGGCATTAATGTTTTGTTGTTACTGTTTGATCGGTTATTGAATTCCAGGTGTTACCTCCCGAGCCTTTTATTCCTCTTACTGAGGAGGAGATGACTTTGGTGTCTAGTGCTTTTTCTGTTAAAAACGGGTATTAATAATGCTCGTGTTAGTACTTGATTACTTGATAGGATGTCGCTTGTACTGTAACACCATTGCTTGTGCTTGCTTTTGTAGGAGAAAGATATTAGTCTCTCACCAAAACTCGAGCATTGATATTAGGGGGGAAGTTTTGCAATGTTTGAAACCAGGCGCATGGTTGAATGATGAGGTTGTTTTTTTTATGTTTATATCTTGTGTTGTATATCTGCATAGAGTAGCCTCTGGAGGATTTCTTAATTTGTCCACATTCAATTAGGTCGTACTGGAATTAAGTGCATTGGTAATCTGGTTTTAACACACGTATTTCTCTTTTATAGGTCATTAATCTATATCTTGAACTACTGAAAGAACGGGAAAACAGGGAGCCGAAGAAGTTTCTAAAGTGTCATTTCTTCAACACCTTCTTCTATAAAAAGGTATTTTCTTGGTTCTTCTATGTTCAATATTACGGTACTTCACTTTCCTAGTTCATATAAGTCTTTGTAAATATTTCTTAACTAGTTTTTCCCTTCTGAATTATGTTGCTCAGTTAGTGAATCCCGACAATGGCTATAACTATAAAGCTGTCAAAAGATGGACTTCACAAAGGAAGTTGGGGTACTGCTTATTGGACTGTGATAAAGTAAGTATTTTTGTCTTTCACTTTGATTCAACCATTGTTTTTTTGCATGATTCATTGTATTTATCTTTAAAATTATTCCATGTTGCTCAGATATTTGTCCCCATACACAAAGACATACATTGGTGCTTGGCAGTTATTAATAAGAAAGATCAGAAATTCCAATATCTGGATTCACTTAAAGGAAAAGATCCTTACGTGCTGAGAGCACTGGTATGATCTTCTGGGTTTTCTCTTTAGATGTAGTATTATTTCGATGCATTTAATTAATTAGCTTAATTATAATTAATTAATTGATCCAAAGTGCAAGTTTTCAATCCTGTTAGCTGCTAGACTCATTTTCCCTCTACAATATTACGCTGTAAATTGTTCTTCTCCTATTCACAATGATAGTTGCTTTGGCTTCAAGCCCACCCTTCCTACTATTACCTCCTATAGAAAATATCATCTTAAACAAAGTTCATACTGATTCTTTTGGCACTTCTTTCGAAATTTTTTAATATTAGTTGTACTGTGTCAGGCAAAATACTTTGTTGAAGAAGTGAAGGACAAGAGTGGAGAGAATATTGATATAAGTTCTTGGGAACAAGAATATGTTGAAGACCTTCCTGCACAGGAGAATGGGTGTGTATTCTTGTATCTATTGCTGTCACATTTTATGTTGTGCTCGGAATACTTAATTCTTCTTAAGCTTATTGGATAAACAAATAACTTATGTTGTTAATTATTTGATTATGTGGTAGCTTTATAGATATCTGAATCTTTTTCTACTAACCATTGATGGCGACTGGTTCCAAATATTTGGTGAACTGTAATTAATACCTTTTACTGCTAGTTTCATGGCATCATGAGCCTCTTCTGTTAG